GTAGGTAAACCAGGAGGTTGATTGAGAACAGAAGTTTCTTTTTTTGATCTATTAATTACTTTAAAAGGATTAAATATTCCTCTGCTTTACCTGCTTCTATGATCCTGCAACTAAGATATATTGGAAAAAGTGGAATATTGTTACTGTATTTATTGAGACTTCAAAGAGTTAAACTTTATTAAATATTATAAGCAATCATAAGCAATGAGATGTTAACAAAAGAATGACTGTGGTTACACTATGAACCATATAAACCACTCCCTCTACCACACACATCGGTAATCAAGAACCCTCTGATCATACCCTAAGAAGAATTGTATAAATGAGAAGGTGTCTATCCTTTAGGTGGTAGCCTAAATGTCACCATCTCTGGGAGGATTTCTCTTATTTCTCTTCCTTTAGAAGATAGATCTTTCCCACCATGGGCTCCCATTGCACCCTATATGCCCCTATCATAGGAGTCATCACATATGATTATCATTGCTTGCTTCATTAAATAGTTTTCCACTAGACCATAAAGTCTATGAGGACAACTACCATATCAGTCTTGCTTACCATTTTATCCTCAGGGGTCTGGAAAATACTAAGAATGTTATAAATGGTTGATAAATAAAAGAAGGAAGAAAGAAAAGAGGGAGGAAAGAGGGAGTGTTTCAAATATTAGGGAAGCCAAATGTTCAGTTTATTGGTATTCAAAACGCAATCATATGGACAGTTCTTTTGGAAATTCTTCCCTTATGTCTGGGGTTTCACCAACTCCTTCCTGTGCTTATTGAATTGCTGAAAATAATATCACAAAGTGTTATTTCCTCCTCTGATTCCTCTAGGAGATGAAGACACAAATCATAGAATCAAAGTGACTTAAGCCAAAGTGGTTCTTATTGGTTCTTATGTCATTGTTTTGGAGTCAGCCCAGCTATCCATACTATACCATCTGTATTGTATCCTGAACATCTCTCACTTTCCCATCAGACTCTTGCCTGCATTGTTAGATTCTGAACTTTTTCCCTTGACTCATCTCACAAAGTACGAACGATTATCCTCATTCTAATGGAAAGGAGAGAGTGCATGGATCATCCGAAGAAGTGAGTTGTCCAAACATTATCTCTGTTTGGCTTTCTTGTAGATTTTCATACAACAAGAATTCACCCACTGCTCAGAAAACCGAGAATTTTTCTACAAGTGGCAGTTCAAATTTGGAAACCACAGCTGTTTGAAGCAATTGAGTCATTGTATTTCAAGTGCCAAAAATATCACCTATCATATTCTCCAGGGTTCAAGGAAAGAGAAAAGAGGAAAAAAGCAAAGACCAAGTTGAAGATAAAGGTAGCATGAAGCTTCTCCAGTTACATAATTGTTATTAAAAATAACTACAATAACAAAACAACAATAATAGCAATAAGAACTAGCATTCAATAGCAATTAACAAAACAGGGCTTCACATGACCTTCCTAAACTTCCTAAGAATGAAAGAAGATAGTATTCTTAGCATCTTCATTTTATACATGAAGAAACAAAATCAGAGAAATTAAGTAATGTCCCAAGGTCACACAACTAAGCCTGAGCTCCAATCCAAGTCACCAGACTTCAAATCCTGTATTCTATCTCTTATTCAAACAGTCTCACCACTGACTTATCTAACCAATCCCACATGAATCTGTTTTGGTGGAAAATCTGCCCTTTTTTCCATCTCTGTGGGCCTCAGGGTAAGGGTGTCATTAGGAATTCTCTGAACTTCCCAAAGTAGAGAAAAAAACAAAGATTCCATTTCTAGTTTTTGAATGAGCGTTTCAGGTATATATATATTAAAATCTTACTTGGCTCATCTCCAGACTAGTTTTTGAGGCTCACAAGAAAAGTTTAGCAACTCTGGACTCTATTTTCTCATACCCCTTCCCACTCACAGGGGACTTCAGGAACAGCCAAAGCAACTTTTCAACTGGCAAAACAGCCCTCATTTCCCTAGGGCAGGCTTGCACCTAGCACATCCTAGACTGTGGTAAGAGAATCTTATCCTGGACGTCCTAACAACTGAGTTCAGGCTGCTGCAGCCAATGAAGAGCCTATCCCATGAATCAAATCTCAGGGAATCTGTGATCCAGCAACACCTCTGGCAGATACCCATTTAAGGCAATATCTGGCAGGAGCTTTGTAAAAGACAGTTAGAAATAGAAAACCAGTCAGATAGATGACTGAAGGCTACTAAATGAAACAGGGAGGATAGAACTTTGGCAGAGAGTATTTTTCAAAAATAACTGCAAAAGTATTTCTGATCCTATACATTCTTTCAGAATCTTGCCACCCTCCCATCAAAAGAAGTTTATTTTCTTTCCCCTCAAATCTTTATTGGTCTTGGTGACTGTCTCATTGAATAGACTATGACTAAAGTGATGCCCTGTGACTTCTGTGGGTAGGTTAGAGAAAGTGATATAGTTTCCACCCGGCTCTCTCTTGGGCACCTGACTTTAGAACCTTGGGAGAAAGCCCAGGCTACATGAAGAGTTTATATGTAGGTATTTCAGTTACCGGTCCCACAAAGGTGCTAGTCGATAGCTGACATCAACTAACTGCCAGACGCATGAGTCAACAAGCCTTCTGATGATTCTAGTCACCAGCCTTTGAGTCATGCCAACCTTTGAGTCTTCCAGTAGAAGCTTCAGACATCATGGAGTGATATCTATTTCACAGTTCCCTGTGGGAATTCCTGACCCACAGAATCCATGGGCATAATAAATGGTTGTTTTAAGCCACTAAGTTTTGGGGTAATTTGTTGCACAAGACATAACCAGAACAGTAACCGAGACCTGAGGGGACCTCGGGGCATGTTCTATTTGCAATAGCCAAAAGGTGACTACAGGCCTTACTGCTAATTCTAGCCATCCTCTGCCAGGTGCCTTCTGCATGTAGGTTATTTCTCTTAGAGTCTCCACTGTTTCTCCCTGAAATCACACTTTGCCCTCCCCATCCAAGTCTATCAGACATGTTTTTAAATGTCTGAATCTCAACTGTGCACAGGGTTTGGGCCCTCTTCCTTTAGTTTCTTTGGTCCTACCTGCACAAATCAGGAGGTAAGCTTAGCTTACTTATTTTAGTGTTTGAACATTCTGTGATTAAGGAGTATGCATTGGTGGAGGGTGATTGGTAGTGGAGAGAAAGGGGAGAACCTAATTCCCAACACCTTTGTCTTAGTTCTGATTTAAAGCTTTTTGTTCTATTTAAATAATTACAGGAGCAGAGTTAGAACCTTCACTCTCAGTGCCATGACGTCACTGAATCATCTTACTTCCAACAACCCTTTGATCGTGTCATTAAACTCAAAACCAGAAAGGTAAAAAATATAGGACTCATCTATTTTGTACAGTGTTGTATAAAAACACTTGGAATACTGCTGAAACACATTAAGTACTCAATACATATCTACTGAAAGAAAGGAAGAAAGAAAGAAAGAAAGAAAGAAAGAAAGGAAGGAAGGAAGGAAGGAAGGAAGGAAGGAAGGAAGGAGAGAGAGACAGAGAGAGAGAAAGAAAGAAAGAAAAAGAAAGAAAGAAAGAAAGAAAGAAAGAAAGAAAGAAAGAAAGAAAGAAAGAAAGAAAGAAAGAAAGAGAAAGAAAGAAAGAAAGAAATTCCCTCCCACCTTTACTTACTTTTAGAGAGCAATATCTAATATCAAGAAAGAAAGAAAGAAAGAAAGAAAGAAAAAGAGAGCAATATCTAATATCGGGTTAGCATAATATGCTTAGAAAACTGTAGTGTTCAATAGGTTGACATTCTACTACATTAGGTAATATGTTTCTCAACCTGCTCAAAGTATTAAACCTTAAAACTGTGAGTTCCTCCAGGGTAGAGATCATATCTTATTCCATTTTGTATCCTAGCACCTGGCTCTTTGCCTGGTACTTGCTTAGTGCTCAGTGAACATTAAATACTTAAATGTTAAAAACTAAATGAATGTCAAACAGACACTGGAAGAGATATTTCAAGTCATACAGTTCCCCTAGGCCTTGCCTAGTAAAAGGCAGTGACAGATAAGGGTGCTGGCCAATGCATCTAATCCCCAGAGGGATCAAACATGGGTGCAAAAGTCCAGAAGGCCTAAAGCTTCTCAGCCTCTAAAACCCTTTGAGAATAAGAGGACTCAAAGAGATATTTGTAATCTGAGTGTGATGTCGATACGCATGCAAAACAGGGTACAGACTTCCACTTTAGCAATCAAAAGTGCTTTTCTATGATTGTTCCAAATAGGATTTTATTACATAGCTAATTTTAAATGAGCCATTCATTAATTTGTCCATTCACTTATTTATTCATCCCATATTAATGGAGACCTACTTGTTGCTATTTTTCTGTAAATTTTCTGCAAATAACTATTAAAAATAGAGATGTCTGAGATCCACTCCAGAAATACTATATCAGAACATCAGAAGTGAGATTAGAAGTTTTACAAGAAAGCTCTGGTGATTTTGTTTGTACTTAAGTTTGAGAACTATTGACCAAAGGTGTTTGCTAAGAGGATCTACATGCAATTGCTTAATATAATATAGCTTTCCTCACATCCTTACAAAAGTAAGATGTCTCAGCTAATTCTAAGACATACAGATATGGTGTATGGCTCAGAATTGCCAATGCCCTAGACCAGAATTTCACTGAATGAATATAATCATTCTCTTCTTAAACTAACCCAAAACAACTCCTGCAAAAAGAAAATAATGAAATAAACTTATCCTTAAGAAACTCATAATTCAGTAGCAAACTATTACAAAATATTTGTTATTAAAATAGATAAGTTTTAAACCTTGATAGGGCACATTCAAACCTTTCTCAATTTGAAAAACAATAAATAATCACCAACTGTGAGAGGGAGCTCTATATCATGCGAATCAGGACTGTACTATTTTTCTACCCTGATTTCCACAGTGCTGACACCCAGCTGGGACCCTGTGACCTTTTCCTTGCCTTTCCCCCAAACTGACCCCTCTTCTTCCCAGGAGACTTTTACTCACTTTCTGAATTTTCCTAATCTGGTCAGAGAGTGTGTCTAACAGGCGAGTTTTCAAGAAGTCCATCACCTTGACCACCCGGCCATCAATGTAGCAACTGGAATAAAAATAAAATAAGAATCAGATAAAATCTCGAGCAGGAGACTACATACACTTCTCTAGTCAGAGGTCTCTGTTGCTTGAGGAAATAGCCCAGGGTTCATGTGGGCTCTTATATCCTAAAATGTGCGACCCTGGGTACATTTCAAAGAAATAATATAATTTTTATTTTTTTCATTTCCTTCTCCATTTATGGGCTAATAGTGTGATTTTTTTTCAACCTTTGTCACATGAAACTACATTGCCTGCTCAATAGGAATTGACAGGAATCTGTAAAACAAATTGAGTAATGGGGAAAAGCTTACTTTCCCCACCCTAGGGAAAGTAATTTAACACCTATTCCATACCACCTCCACTCATAACTTAAAGTAATAAAGATATGCGAGAAGTTTGAAAGAATACTCAAATATTTTGATAGGTTTCCACACCTTTAAATAAGAAAACAAACCCCAACCACAAAAATCTGATTTAGTGCAGTGAGTGGGTCTCAAAGGTTTCATCTCTAGCTTGCCTCTTGCCTCTCTGGGCAAAATATCTTGTAGTCGATCTTCTACCACATCTGAAGTAAATGAATGGATGAATGAACGAATAAACAAACAAATAAATAAGTCAGACAGAGTAAAGTCCAGGAGCCCTCTCCTAAAATAGTAACAAGTTTGGCACTCATGGGTGTGAGGGTGTCTGGTTTTGTTAGGAAGTTTAAACGAAAAATCGAGTTGTGCTGATACTATGCTGTGAACAGGTAGACTAAAACAGGTCCATCCAACTCTTGGGGACTCTCTTTGTGAAGCCTCACTCTGAAGACTAAGTTGAGATTGGCCCAGGGTTAGCTGAACTTCATTATCTCAAACCTCCCCACCTCTACCTTTGCAAAATGCCAAATTAAATCAATTTAATTTAAATCAATGCTTATAACTCCCTTTTCCAATCCACTAAGGTCCCCTTGGCTAATAGCTAATGCTAGATTATTTCATTTTTAATAACACATCAACCTCTCAATACATATTACAGAACTATATGAGAATTCTTTTTTAATGTTAAATTCCCATACAAATATGATGTAGTAGACTGGTTAAACTTCTTTTTCTAATTGTAAATCAGGTACTGTGGTTAAAGTGAGGGTGGGAGATGAACTTCTCCCATTCAGCCTTCCCTTTGGCCTCCTCACCACTTCAGACATGTCCACAGAATCCAGCACTGATATGTTGGAAAGAGTATGGGTTTTGGAGCCAGAGACATCTGAGTTCAAATTTCAAATCAAGTATTTACCACTTATGTGATCTTGCACAAGTTATTGGCCTCTATCAGCCTCTTTTCTTATTCTCAAAAGAGAGGTAACATACCTACTTCTCAGGATTAATTGAAGATGAAGCACATAAATCTAAAGTGTCCGGCACTCAGCGACTCTTAGTTGTTGTTTTTTTTCTAATTTTTCTAATTTTCAGCTCACAAAGATGAGGTCATAAACAATAGGAGACTAATTAATTAAATTTATGTGAACACAGAATTCTAAATGTGGAATTTTATCAAAGGGTACATGCTTTTGAAAATTTTTGTGGTTTTTTATATTAGGGAATAAAACAAAACAATGATGTGGCCTTTTACCTCATTCCTGGTATGATCCAATAAACATTTATTATGTGCAATACACAGTGCTCTCGTGCCCATGTCCATTACCTCACAACCTCTTCCTACTAGTACTTCACTATTAGCATCTCCGATTTTTTTAAAAAGTTGTGATTAGATAGCATAGTACATGAAAGCCAGGCACATTAAAACATAGTAGTGTTAAAATTTAAAATAATTCATACAATGTTAATCTAACACACTGAAGGACATGCATACATGTTACTATAATACATGATAACTAGGCATAGGATAAAAATGAACTGTAATTACTGTTTATGTTTTAATGAAATGTATTACAGTTTTCTCTTTTCTTTTTGTTAGCTCCCAGTAACTATTTTAAACATCAGAATGTATACGTTTTGCTGATAACACATATAGTTTAAAACTTACTGAGATAAAAATGTCAGCTGTACTCTTTTCAATATGTAGGATTCCTGTGAACACTCTCCCTATCCCATATAATCCATGGCCCAAATTTGAGAGGCCCTTCACTCCTCCCTTCCTTCCTTTTGTCTTTTTTCTCAAGTACAAAGAAATTGGAGTTAGAAAATCTTGGTTCAATCTCAGCTTTGTCACTTATTACTTATATGATATTGAGTTTCTTTTTCTTTAAAATTGATTTTAAAAGAAACAATAGTATTTTCACAGGGCTACTATACCAATTAAATCTGAAAAAAGGCTGGGTAAAGAAGTTGACCCGTGAAAGGCATTCAATAACCACATCTACCCTCCAGGTTACTCAAGGGCCCAAGGTGGCAGCAACTGAAAAGCTATGTGATGGGGTGAAGAGGGTAGCATCTGCATGGAGAAGGACAGCATATTCATCCACAGTAGGATTTGGAATTAGGGAGGTATGGAGCACCAAGAACAGACTCTGGATTCCCAGTAGGTGGGAGGCTAAGGGAGGGATAGAGAGGGATGTGATTATGTTACAAAAATGTGGAGCTTCAAAAGACCTTAATGGTCACGTGATCTCAATCGTGTAAACTTGCTACAACATCTCTGAGAAGTGATTATCTAGGACAGATAATTAGTACTGTTCCACTGCATTATAGATCAAATTCATGAAAGGCTCTTCTAACATAGGTTTAAAATTTGTTCCCTCTTATTGTCCATTCAACAGCTGTTTTCTTAGACCCAGAAATAGTCCAATTCCTTCTTCATATGACATGTAGAGGAGAAATTTCAGTAAAAATTTTGGTATAAGATTTTTAGAGCCTATTCTTGGTTTGCTTTTAACCTAACAAGCTGGATTCAATCACTCTCAGTCGGTCTCAGGCTACTCTTGTAGGCTGTGAATTAGAGTGGAGCAGGGGAGAGGAGAGCTCCAGGCAGGAAACCTGAGTGACAAGGTTATCTTATCTCAATAGCGCAGGCAAGAAGGGATCTGAGTCTAAGTAAAGGAGGTCATGAAAAGAAGTAAAAGTGAGAGCCTGTGAAGGAAGAACTAATAAAATAAAGCTTCTGTAGAGTGTAAGGGAGAGAGGAAGGGAAACAATTATGACCATGAGCTTATGAGAACGTCTCGGAGAACACTGGTGCCAAGGACACGTAGGCCAGTCAGACTAGGTTTTGGGTTTGTCGAAGAGATGAATGATTCCGCTTGGAATATCAAAGATGCAGAGAATGTCAAAGAGGAAATATGTAACGGGTAGCTGGAGACATGAGGAGGAGGTACAAAAAAAGTTGAGACAAAATATTGACCTGGGTATCTTCTTCGTAAGTAATGAAGTAAGCCATGGCTATAGATGAGCTCTCCAAGAGAATAAGAGAAGTTAACGGAGATGTCAGACACCTTCTAAAATGTTCCACACATATGGCCCTGGGCATTGCCTCTACCTTTGGCCCAGCTAAGAGTCCCTTCCTTCACCAGCCTATCATGATCTTTTTAATAACCTCAGTCTGAGTCAAATTCATATTTGGATGTCAGAGGAATCTCCATATTATACTGAGAAGTTTCAGCAACTTTTATTTACAACATTAAACCCAGATTTATATTGTACTGTGGAAATAGCAACTTTTATTTACAACATTAAACCCACATTTATATTGTACTGTGGAAATATGAACAAACAAAACCCACATTTATATTGTACTGTGGAAATATGGTCTCCCAGAATTTAGTATCACTTTTAAGAAAGGGGATAATTTAACCATAGGTATGAGTCTGATAAATACCTATGCCTTTTTCTTGGGTACCCTTGAACAGCTAGCTTGCTGCACTTACCCTTCATAAGTGTGAAGCTTCTAAGGAAACATTAAGTGTCTACTATCTGTGATTATTTTTAAAATTCCTGCCTTTTACAGAGCTTTGGTTCTTTGATGGTAAAGAGCCCAGTCTATCATTTAGATTTGGACATGAAGAAGGTGGAGTAGCCTGTGATAACCATTTGGTAAGAATTAATTGTTAAAAATGATGAAGATGGAGATTTCTCACTACGACTAAGTAAAAGGAAGTAGGACTGGATTCCAACTGACTGTCCAGTGACCTGGGGGGAACTCTCTCTGCTCTTCTCTATCTTTCTCACTGGGATGATAAAGACCATTCTTAGCTATCAAACAGTATTGCCGCAAGAGTTGACTACTTTAGTAATGGCTAAAAAGGTATCCGAAGACTAAATAAATCAGAGAAGAAAGGAAGGATTGAGTGAAAGAAAGGAAGAGGGAAAAGAGGAAGGAAATCTATCAATTAGAGGTGCTTTAATATCTTCCATATTAACCCTGGTAGAATGATTGGTTCTAGAAACACAAAGACTGATATTTTTAGGTAAATTGTAGTCCTCTTCCAAGCTTTACTGAAATTTCACCATCTCTTAGGATCACACAAGTGGCTGAGTTGTTCAACTAAAAGCTGAAGCCAAGAAAGGCTGTGTAGAAATAACCTTTCTGGGAACTATTACAATAGCAGCGAGGTTGATACCTTTCTGTGTGGACAAACAGCCAGTCTGGCTCATTACCAGCAGCCATCACTCCTTCTGCTGGCCTGTAGACTGGTAAGTCATATCAACTACACATTTGGGAAGATGGCAAAGATGGCAGAGCATACAAACTAAATGGAACCACTTAGTAATTCATTCGCCAATTCTCCTGCTCTCCTTAGTTTCAATTTTACTTCCAGTTTAATATCTTTCATTTTAAAGTTTTTCATTTGTTTATTATAAAAGAAATAAGACTCATTATAGGCAAATTAAAAAATGGACATAGACAAAATTAAAATTTGAAAACAAAAAATCACTGATAAGCCCAACACGTAGCGAGACCCATTAACATTTTGCTGTATACCCGTTCAGAATTTTTCATAGTAAATACACATAAAGTTTTCCATAATTAGTTATTTTAAAAACATTCTAGATTCTGTTTTACTAGCAT